AGAGTTGGCTGATTTTTTTTCTTACAAAATTTAGAAGTATGTTGCCCCAGTAAGTGTATAGATTTAACACTTAAAGGCTTACTGCATAATATTGCACATTCCAATGCTTCATTTCTTCCTTGCGTACTTCTTGTTTTAAGAAGCTACTTTACAATTAAAGCATAAAATAAAATTGAGTATGAAGTGTGGCATGGAAGAAAGAAATGTAAGTGTACACATACAAGAATGAACATACATTGCACTTTTACCCTACTCAGTATGTTCCTCTTAGAGGACATTCAATAAATAAAATACTGCAACCCATGGCTTTCCTATGAAAGTGCCATTCATTTATCTCTTAGCTCCTTAGTTTATAGTGATGGAGTGAAGGAGGAAGTAAATACAGATCAGGTTTAGAAAACCATTAAGACAGATGATCACACACACACAAAAGACCACTTTATACAATCATTTAAATCACATTGATGTCAGGTCATCTGAAAATGATATCTCACACATTTTAGGCTTTTATGACATCAAATTTGACAGGAAAGATAAGGCAAAGTTTCTCAGAAAAATCTGAAATGATACAAATATATCAATTTTTTTGATCCCTCCAGAAGAGAAAGAAACTTCAGCCCTTACAGCTGCTTGAGGTTGCACGTAACCAAGAAAATTGTAATTGAAATTCTGTTACTTCACATTCTACAAAATACGTTGCTGGAAACAGTGAAGAAAAAGTATGCTATCATAGTTCATAATCACAGTATGGCAGTGATGGGAAATACTTCTCATTAACAGCAAACTCAGCTACAGATCTTGAGTCGTGTCATTGCACAGGAAGCCCAGCCTTATCAAGTTTATTTCTTTTGCGCACCTATTGCTGCTAAAGGGTTTGACTGTGCTTTCCTCTCTATTTTGCTAAGTTCTCTTTGCTGTTATATGATTATGTACACTCTACTGTACTACGATCAAAAGCATCTGGAAAGGTGGAAGTGAAGAAATGCTCTCTGGGAAAGTTAGCTTAATGCTTGCACTTCAGAGCCGCCCATTATCAACATTTCATAGCGAGTTCCTTTATTTCCAGGTCCCCAAGGTAAAAGCAGTAAATTATGACTTGAACTAAACAAGTCACACTTGGCTCCAAAATCAGATTTTCCTACCTCTAGTTTCAGGTCCCAGAGGTGGGCAGAGGAAATCCTGGTCACAGCCAAAGAAGTCATTTTTGGCTCCGAAATACATTTTCCTGCTTCACAAGAGCCAAACCCTACCATTGAGAGCACCGTAGCTTTAAGCAATACTTCAACATTTCTTTTATATATTTTGCTTTAGCAACTTGATTCTTCAGCAATATGAAACCATTTTCAATCATACAGAATTACAGGTTTGGTCTCTCTTTCTTAACATAGTATTGTTATTATGAAGTACACTTATGAAACCTAATCATTGCTTTCTTCCTAACACTGACAGAGAGTTTTAGACTCTCCTCTTTGTGACAGCAAGTAAATGTAAGTTATCACATGCTTAAAATCCTTAAGAGAAGCAACTGGAAAAGAAACAAAATTACATTCCTTAAAGGTTCTACACAAAATAATGCAACATACAAAAGCAGACAGTTACTGAAGGAGACCGAATGCTCTCCTTTTAACACCTGAAGTTGTAACATATATTTACAACACACATATGGAGAACATAATATTGGATATTTTACATCATATTTGGTGATGAGTTTCTTGTCCAAGAATGATGTCTGGATCCAAAATGCTACAAGTCAAAATATATAACAGGAATTAATAAATAGTATGTTAGCATCAGATAACATGTACGTAGGATTACGCATCTTTTTCTGCCACATTATTTATGTTCTCTAATATTACCATTCACTGGAATTAGCATCAAGTTACAAACCATAAAATATGTTTAGAAAGCAGGTTGATCACAGACAAGTAATATTAGTGGAGATGAGCCAACATCAAGCTGCCAACATAAAATATCGGTCTCCAAAGGCACAATTCAATAAACCCTTATGACTGTGCATAGTCATAGTAGTATTAAAGGATTACTCACACAAGTAAGAGCTATGTGCAGGAGTAAGGGCTTATAGAGCTGAGTCTTAAGAAGACTTTTAGTAGACTTCTACTAGCCCAAAAAGCAGACAAGCAAGTGTGGTTTTATGTAGAGAAAGCACTTTTTTGTTTTTACCCCAATTCCAGAAGTATCCCATGAATTTTCCTAGGGAACTGTTAACCATTTGCATTTTCTACTTATAAAGGGATATAATTACTAATCTTATCAGTTTCTTCAGTACATCTACCAAGCATCAGTTGCTGTGTAAAACAATAGATGCAACTGTTTCCACAGGTGTTAGACCTACTTAGCTCTAACTTGACTTGCATAACTGTTTAGAATTATCTCCTCAGAATTTAAGCACCATACTAATCTTCAAAGCTGGAAGATTTGAATTTTTCAGTATTTAGCCTATCTTCTGATTTAGCTAGCCACGTATATCACAAGAGCAATCGTCTTAACTATCCTATGAACTCTGAACCATTTCATTTAGGAACTCACTTTTCCTAAAATCCTACAAAAAGAAAAGAAACAAAACAGCGTCCTCTAATATTTTAAAATCTGGATTCTTCTAATTCCAGGAGAAAAAAGGATTTCAAATGAAGAAATTGTACGTTCAATGAAGACCAAACACCCTAAAAGAAAGTCACTCACTTGTACCTGCAAGAGAGAATTCCTGTATTCTTACTATGACAAACACAACTACTATGCCTTGAAAACAATACTGAATAGGAAAATGTATTTTAATGAAATGCTGCAATTATCCTTCATGATAATTGTTATAAATTATTTTCACTGTTTAAAGCAAGTATTTGAACATCAACTTATACTTTAAAACCCTATTCCCATCTCAGTGTCAAAGGATTAAGATCTAATTTTAATAAGAATGGAAAACAAAGCTGCACCACAAACAGAACGGTGCAAATATCATTTAGCCCCAGCAATCAGATATCACACTAGTTTTACATAAAATTTACTTTTTTTTTTTTAAATGATGTAGCACATACTTTTTTATGCCATTTTTATTACATTTGTTCCACTCCATTGTGGGAAACAGCACTACAGCTTTAGCATGCTTTCCGTGTAGCCTTCCTTATCCAGCTGACTACATGAGCTTAAGTGATAAAAAAGCACACAGTAATCCAGAACTTCTTGAGGTACTCACTAAAAAAAAAGCCTTGGACCAAACAGAGCATTATTCAACTTGCAGGGAAGTACTGCTAGTTGGATCTCACTTTGAATCCAAGTTGTTGAGCAGAAGATACATTCACAGTAAGAACAATTTCCCCTAACACCATTCTAGCAGAACTACCACACACCAGCCAGCTCCTCAGATCTGATGCTGAGAGACCAGTGCATGCCCTTCTCTCATTTAGAATTGATCAGTGCAGTGCTTTGTGCATCACTGTATCTAAATATATGCATACAAACCTTTAGCTGTGCGCAATTTGGCAGCTACTGTTTCTACCCTTACTTAAAAATTTAGAGGTTTTCTTCAGTCTGATTTAAAAAAACAAAAAATAGACAAACCTAACATTCGTATTTTGGAACTGTTATCAATAATGAGGTGCACTGCCCAATTTCTACTATAATACATATTTGGTTATATCCAAAAGAAAATCAAAAGCAGTATTTTTAACCTTAAAGAACATAATCCATTGTGAGCATAATTCACCATAGACACATGCTTTTCAATTCAATTTTGTATAATTTAGAATACAAAAATATTGACATTCTGGAAATCATTTAGAGCAAAATGTAACAGTTCCAGCTCTACTACAGACCAAGTGTTTCCAAAATATCATTTCAGAGAACACTTCTAAAACAAAGCATTTCTAACTCTAGAAACTGTGATGAATTTTCTTTGAATGTATATGTTTTTATACTGAAGGACAGGGTATTATGTTTTAGTAGAAGAAAAATGTTATGGCTGAATAAGCGCCTCAAGAAAGTTATGCAAACATTGAGAGAACACCGCACCAGGCAGCCACTGCTAACATAACCCTACCAGTCCTCATAGGATGTGGGTTTTTCCTACCAAGGCTTTAACTAGGCACATGCTGTAGACAACAAAGAAGTCTTTGGCTGTTCACTTAAGCTCAGAACACATCTCTAAAACCAAAGCAGAGGCAGCTTGAGCTTTCAAGTGCAGACCTATGGTTTTCTTGTTTGATTTGGCATTATTAATAACAAGAATCCAGCTGTTTCTGATATTTATTCTGTGATACTTGTTTCTTAGTTTCACAAAGAAGTCTAAAAATGCTCTAAAAGGTACACAAAAAGAAAGACAGAGACAGTGGCCATCATACTGAGAAGTGCCAGCCGTGAAGCATCGTGCACTTAGCTTTTTTTTAGTGATCTTCCATATGAGTTAATAATATTTATTCCTTTCATTAAGTAGAAAGAAAGTCTAGAAAAATACTTTTCCATATTCATTGGCTTTCTTTTCCTTAATAAATGCCTGGCCTCAGCTAGAAACTGCCTGCTCTCATGGAACATTATCTAACTACAAGACAAGTTCTGTTGAAGTCAAAAGAAAGGAAGTGTTGATGTGGGCAATTACACAGAAATGCAAAAGCAACAGGATGTTACTTTGGCCACCTGCTGAATAATACAAATAGTCTCAAATTTCTTTAATTGGAGACACATCAGAATACCACTTTTAGACAAAAAAGAGCAATTTACCAATATGAAAGCCTTCACTAGCAATGTCAAAGGAATCAACGGTATTTTTTACCTAGCATGATATACTTGTATTTAGAATATAGAAATGGGTCAACAAAACATGCTGAGCTTTTCCTCCTTTTAACTGTGTAGAAAGTAATAAAGAGTTCAAATAAGACTGACAGGAGTCCAAGGATAAACATTTCCAACAAATGCTGTGCATATTTCACATTTCAAACAGGATATAAAAAATAACATACAACTCTTTCAATTAGATATCGATATCCTACCTGAAGGTCTTTCACATTTGGGAACGGAATACCTATGGTTATAACTGCTCGAGCATTCTCATCACAGAAATCCAAGCCTTCACTAACTTTTCCTCTGCACACAGCTATTAGGAGTGCTCCATCTTGAAGAAGCCAAAGAGGGATATGCATCATTCCCAGGGGTAAAGTGAACATCAAAAGAAAGTTTCAGTAATATCTTTTAAAAGTTCAACATAATACAGCATAATACATTGTGCATCTGTCTGGAAAAGGTGAGGGGATTTAAATTTAGAACTGTTTTTTGTTAGAGAGAGGAGATCAACTGTATTTTCATTGATAAAATTGTGATTTTTAATACAAGTAGCAAAGTAATTTTCCATTATATAACACAGTGGTACTTAATTATGCATGAACCATATGCATTTACTACAGTGTTTCAAATTTAAAACATTCAGTTCTGCATTCCAAAAGCTATGTTATTGTTGACATGCTATCATCCTTTATTCTTTATACTAACATTCAGGTATTTTGAAAAGAAATCCTACAGTAGCTGTAATATAAGATGAGAAATCAAAGCTCTGCGATGTGTGGTAAAAGTGATTCTTTGAGAAGGCAGTCTGCACCCTGCTGGACACACAAACACACATTCCTACACAGAGGCAGTCCTACTGCCTCTTGGATACCACTGTAAGGATTGTGCATCATTCTGTGTGTCCCCTTCTCTGCATGCAACAATGAAAACAGCTCTTAATCTTCCTCATTTATAACAATAATTTATTAAGATAAAGTTAACTTAAGTATTTAACCATATCTTATAACTGTTAAGAATAATATCAGGGTTTTTTTTATACTTGAAAAGACAGTGTAACTGTTGTCTGCAGAAAGTACCTTTTCCTCCTTTAAATTTTATTGCATCGTAGTATATTTTCAGCAGTTCATCGAAGTCACTTTTTGCTCCTCCTTGAGGCTCTGCAATGACTGTCTTAACAAGCTCCAGGTTTCTCCACAGGCCAGTGTGCATCCAGCGATCTTTCAGTTTGTCCAACAGCTGAAAAGAGAAAAATCCAGAAGAGCTGAAATAAATTGTCAGTTCCTCAAACTCTTCCACTACAGACACTTACTGTAGTGCAACTGTATTATTCAGTTTTTGCATTTATGAAAACAAGTTCCACAGCTATGCAATACTGGGATTGATGTCAGTATTTATCAACAGCCTCCTCTGCTTCAAAGCCCATCAGTTCTATTATAGCTACCAGATTCTGAACTGCACTATTTTACTCCAAATCAGCACGCAGTCAAATCTTGTAGGCTTGTTCTATATATACTGCGAGCATAATAAAAATATGTATTGCATTACATAAAGCTAAATCTAGAAGTATCACAGAAACTGAATTCAGGTGGGCAGGGGTCAATTTTGCAGTTAGCTGCTATCATGTCTTTTTTCCATCACTTTCTAGATTGAATATTATGAAGGTAGGGAGCAAAAGTCATTCCTTCACCTAATATATTTGTTTGATAGCGCACAGCACTTCCCTCAGAGCAAAGAAATGCAACCAATACATTTCAGCACGAGCTGAGCTGACCCGGTTCAGTGGACAGAAGGTAAATACTTGATCTCACTCATCATAGTGTTCAGTGTGCCATCACTAACTGCTGGGCAGTAGAGCTGCTATGCTCTGCAGATATAGAAGATTTTAAACTAACAAATTCTATAATATGGGTTACACTCATAATTCGTACTTCCCTCAGCTCCACTCATCAAAGACTTGCTCACTATTTTGCTCCAGGCTGTATAAAGTGCTCCATCTGGAACCAGCACCAATCCCAGCCCAGTGCTCAAGAGCCGCAGCATCCCTCGGTTCCCAGCCCCACTCACCTCTTTGATGCACTTCAGAAAAAAAAACAACAAAGGATCCTGTATGCTTGCAAAATTCATTTCTTAATACAAGACGACTTACATATTTCACGTTCTTAACACTAGGTCTGAATTTATTCTCTGTTATTAAGTACTTGAGTCGGTCCCTTTTGAGGTACATCCAGATCAGAGGGGACAAATAGGATGTTGCTTTTGGCATGCTGACCAGCTTTGTCCAAGCTCCTATTCAGGAAATCCTGATTACCCACTGGTGTTGGGACACCGTTCTCAAACAAGCACAGAAAGACCAAATGATGAACAGTACTAACACTTCCTATGCATACAGATGTCACTGCAAAAGAAAGCATCTCTTCTAAAAGTGCTTGTCCCTGTGTTCCATCTACTTCTCTGCCAGCTCACTCATTTCCTGGCAGCATACTATCTGTAATCTCTTTTTGTAGAAAGGGTTATATTATGAGCAAGCAATGAAGTGCATCTGGCCATCCACAGCCTGCCACTAAGTCCTCAGTTCTTGGACATGATGTGAAGATAATTCTGGTAAAGAAGAGAACCGAACAAATGATGCACCTAAGTACATCCACTTAAGGTGTATTAGAGCTGCCACTAACTGTAATATTATCAGCTTTTCAGATTTCATTCTTCCTTCTGCAAAGCTAATATCTTCCCAGGCACCTACTTGATGGGCCATGCTAAATCCACTTCTGCCTTCTCTCTGCCATGTCTGACAAAAGGAGGCTGGGGAGATACTACAGATAGGATGCACTTGGGTATAACTGAACTTGAACTTTACATCCATAAAGCTATTCATGTTTCGGGGAACATTTGCCCCAGTCTTCTCCTGCTCCTATCATCTCAGCTACTGAAATCACTGGGTATTTTTCACAAACACAGCCTTATAAAGCATCCTTAGCAGAAAAATCATTTCTTAATTTAAGTGAATCAAAGCCTCCAAAAGGACAAGATTCCAGAAGTACTTAAAACCCTCAGCTCCACTGGATTTCTCCCATAATTGAAAGGAGCATAACCTATGCATCACCAGAAAGATGGCACTAGAAAACCTTCCTCCAAATTCTTAAGAAAATATCTTTTCTCCTTTGTGTTGGCCCCTCCAGGCACATATCTAATAGACTATACAAGGTTCAAGTTTGTTTAATCAACAGCATCATCATCACAGAACATCTACAGTTTTTGATGGAAGTTATTACCCCTCCTATTTAATGGCACTTCCAGGATATGAAAACTTTCCTGTGCACAGAAAATTATGCACAAGCATATACAATACCCGGGCTATTGCCACAGGCACTAAAACAACCAGAATTATGGACATGACTGCATACAAATAAATAAAATATAGAACACATACATGGCTCGTAAGAGCTATGAATCAAAAGCAAGATTCTCATAAAAAATTATTTTACTTCAAATTGGAAAAGTGTAAATGGGAGCAAGATATAATGCCAGGAATCACAAGGAGCAACCATTAATGTCCACAGTCAGTCACTTTTTCAACCCAAGGGAATAATAGCTTCTGCAGTGGAAGGCAATCTGCGTATATTTTATTAAATCCCCTAAAAATGGATTCTCAAATGGTTTATTAACAAACGCTCTTCCTCCAGGAGAGCAGAAAATCTTGTTAGAAAGAATCTGTCATCTTCCCATGCACTGAAGGATGTTTACTTTGATAGCTTTTTCCTTGTTTTCCTTTCTGCAACTTAAAGACACCTGTAAGCTATGACCCGCAGAACTTCTGAGCTCAGTATTTAGATTTACCATTCATCTTTGTCTGCTTTCTCTTTTCGAGGCAGCTTTTGAAGCATTCTTGAAGTTTAGGAATGGTGGAAAAGGTTTTCTTAACATCTCTTGCCATTATATTATGCTCCTATGCTAAATCCTCTCATCCTGTGTCCATGAAGGAAAAGCTGTGCCCCTTTCCATTTGCCGTTTTGTTTTATTCGATGCCAAAAACTGCATTAGGGGTTTCCCATGTCATGAAGCAAGACCAAAGATTTGTTTAATGTGTTTTACCCTGAGGCAAGTTCACTGTAATTTCCAGCATCTTAAAGCAGCCAAGAAGTTAACTTGCAGCACTCACACTGCTGCACTGTAATTTGGGAATGCACTTTTTTTTTTGCAGCATTCAGTAGCACTTGATGGTGATTGTTAAAGCAGCAAATCCCTGTGATGAGGAAGGGTCTCATGGCACACACAGTAACACAATGAGTTACAGATTCTGATCTACAGCTCCTTAACTCATCCCGCTACAAGCACCTGTTACTACATTTCTTTATATATATTACTCCTGCAATACTTTAGCATTGGTTCAGATGGATTGATTGTATTCAGATTGATTGGTTGATTCAGATGGATGGATTGTACCTTGCTAATAGATGAAAAGGGAGCACAGAAATAATCCGGCCATCAAAAGTGCTTGGGAAAGCTATGGAATACTTAAAAATAAAAGAGGATGATCAAGAGCAATACAGAAAAGGGTAACGAAGCCATCATAACCCACGTAGCAGCTGATATAATAAACTTAGGTTTTATTAGCTAGTTTAACAACTATTAACTAATATAACAACTGTCAGTTACAGCTGCAGTGCATATTCTTGTGCATCTTTAAAAGCACGTGCTATCTTGTTACCCATACATTCATATAACAACTGAACAAAAGGTATTTCAAGGGACACTAAATTTCCACAAATCTCTTGTAACTCTCTTCAATCTGGCATTAAATACCAACAAAACACTTCTCCCAAACTTCAGCATTTTTTCATCTCATTTGTATGTGATTCATTTTCATGATAAAATGTTTGTTTTCAACTGTTAAGATACTTAACATTTCCTTCGTTATCTGGATACAAAGGGTAGCTGAGGAGAAAAGGGAAACAGCCATTAGGTTTTTCTTAATAAAAATCACAGTATTGGCACCACTGTTAGTGCAAAAAGTCAGAGATTCTCAAGGGACTAACATTGATCTAAAAGCCTTTTCCCATGCAGAACTCTTCATGTGTTTGCTACTAGGATTTTCTTTTTGAATAAGCACTGCTTCAAATCAAAGTGTGCCTCCACTGGGCTGGAAATGTGTTTGAAGGGTCAAATAGAAGTTCTACACACAGTCAGCACAAAACTTCAGAAAGGGAAAGCAGGCATCTCCAGCCAGCCCTGAGACTAAGCAACAGAAGTCCATCACTTGCTTCGCTCTGGTCGAACCAAGAAGGCTTAGGACTAAATGGGAAATCACTTGCAGAAAACAGGGTTAGCATTCAATCCACCAACATGTGCAAGTGACACACAAAGATGTGGAGATGCTATAATGAGGAATACTTGCATCATCTTTTGAGCATTAATTCAATAAGGCACTTATTACTTTGCAGTACCAAAAATTAAGAAATTGCATCAAAATGAAACACAGTTTTCTCATCTTACTACAAAATGCTTCCCACTATTTAGGCTGTCTGCAGGTAAACAGCACAGACTGCTTTATACATCACCAGATAACTCTCACTGCATTTGCATCAGCTGCATCCTCTCCTCTTCCTGCCAGTGGCAAAAAAAATTATACATATATATACAATCTATAGACTGACAGATCCTGCAAATTTAAGCTATTAGGAGAAAGAACATCATATTTTCCACAAAAGTAATCCTCTGAAGATCCCAAGGCACAGATGTTTTTATAATGTATCTAATTCCAGAGGCATTGCATTACCTTTAATAAGCTCTCAGGACGAGGCACAGCTTGCTGAATCAACTGCTTAACTACAGCTCTAACTTTTTCTTCAAACCACTCTCCTCCTGCTCTGAAAGCTCTCTATTCAGCATGATGGCTAATTACCTGGTCAAATGTTGTTCTTCTATTTTGAAAGAATAAAGCCATTTCCATGTTAGTGATAATCCCAAAATAAGGGCAGTAAATTAATGCATTTAATACGTCGCTTAACACGAGTGGCCTCAAATTCATGTCATTTCAAAGAAGACTTGGAGACCATCCTTTGCCAGACTCCCTCCTTTTTTAACATCACTTACATGCTGGTATTACAGGCTCCTACTAAAAATACTTTAAGAACTCAAGACATTCTGGAAATATATAAAGTTGGCAGAATTTATTCGAAAGTTCTCTGAATGTCAGTGAACCTCCAGGACCTATTAGAAACCTTCAGTGTGGGGAAAAT